AAGAAGTCATAAATCTGGAGAGGGGACCGAAAGGGGGAAGAGGGAATTGATAGGAAGCAGAAGGGAGGTGAGAGAGTGTGGGGGCGGGAGTAACCAGGACAAATTACATATGTGTATGAATTGTCAAAGAATAACTTAATATAAAGAAAGAGTACTACAGTTCATAAAATGGGGAGATGGAAAAGGGCCAAGCTTCCAAATATAATAAACTTCTGCAGTAGCCTGCTACCAACTAACCTCAGGCTTGTTTACGAGAAAATTGAATCTTTATGTTGTAAGCAAAAGGTAACCGAATTTTCTCTTTGCAGGTAAGAGCATTTTATCTGAGTTTTGGCATTTTGTTCGGCTCCATGCCATTACGGTGTAGTCCGGGATGTCTGGCGTTCAGAGGATGAGTGGGTCTGGGGTGACAATACTCAATGAACTTTTAAAAAAGGTTAATATTCTACTAGGTCTCCAGGACAGTCACCCAAATTACTGCAGACTGGGTGGCTTAATGGAAGTCCTATATCAAAGGGGTCAGGTTGTTTTCTTCTGACACCCTATGCTGGTTGGTATTTGTTAACTTCAGTTGTGAAAATGTCTCCATCAGACTGGCCTGTGACAGCCTGTGGGGGTACTTTCTTGACTAATTATTGATGTGGGAGGGCCCAGGCCCCTGGGAGCCACCCCTGGGCATGCGGTCCTGGTATGTAGAAGAAAGCAGGCTGAGCAAGCCTTGGGGTGCAAGCCAGCAAACAATGTTTCTCCATAGCTTCTGCCTCAATTCCTGCCTCCAGGTTCCTGAATTCTTGCATGTCATCTCTTCATGACAGACTGTAATCTGTAAATTGAAATAAATCCTTTTATTCCCAAGCTGCTTTGGCTGTGGTATTTATCACAGCTATTGAAAGCAAATTCATACAAAAATCTGTAGCAGGTTTGTGGAGTGTTGCTGTGACAGACGTGTGTTGTTCTTAGGAGGACTGTGGAAGGACTTTGGAATGTTGGGCTGGAAAGACCCTTGAGTGCTTACAGCTTAGTGGGTGTTTGATGGAAACTTTGAGGATAAGAATCCCGAGAGAAAGGCAGACGGCTGCATTTCTGGCTTTTGACACTTCAGAGTGAAGTCCAGGCTCTATTAGGCTGTTTGCGAGATGTTTCAAACTGAAAATCTCTGGTTTCTAGTCAGCTGGTGCTGAATATTCAGCTGTAATTAACAAGAAGCCAGCGCCACTAAAGAGAAACCTTTGCTTTACTGATAGAATCTATACTGGTTAGCTGGAGTTGAGAATTCCACTGTGATTAATAAGAAACCAGCAGCACTGAGCTAAAATTTTCTGGAAGTATTTCCTCAGGCTCAGCACCCAGAAGCTGGTCCAGAGGAGATCAAGGTTGCATCTTGGGCTGGAGGCTGAACGTTGTAATCTGTATGAGTCTCCCAGATGATTGGTTTTGGTGGCTTGAGGGCATCGGGATTAAAGCAGTCCTGGAGAGCAGATGAGGCTCTGTGAAAAGCCCAGAGAGGCTACTGGAAAATGTGCAGCCTATGCTGGAGTGGAGGCCCAGGGTTTGGAGAGGGTATGGGGAGATGCTCAGGCGTGGCCCAGGAGGCAAGGTTAGAGCCCTTGAAGAGAGCCCAGTGCGGGCTACTAGTGAAAGTGCAGGCTTGGTTTCAGTAGAGCCTCCAGGATACTGAAGATGCTGGGTCTGTGGATGGTCCCTGAGGACAGCACCAGGGGTACAGGGGAGCCAGCCTGAGCTTGCAACAAGCTGTATGTGCTAGAGCAGAGCTTCCCAAATACTTCATAGCCTAGGAGATCATGAGAACGTCTCATATGTTGTACACTGAGCTATTTATATTGTTGGGATTCAGTTTTGCTTTGTCTTAATTTTGACTGTATCTTGGTTCTTCCTTCATGAGTAAGAAGTTTGTAAAAAAAATTATTTTATTTTACAGGGGCTACCTGTTGAGAGACTTTGTACTTTAAAGAGTCATTGACTCTTTTTAAAAGATTAAAATTTTAAAGTGTCAGGATTTTTTTCTAAAGAATGTGAAACTTTTAAAACTATACTGTGTCTTTTATTGTGATATTACCATGAGATCTTGGGGAGAAACAAGAAAGTAAAGGTTAGGATTTAATAATGGTGTATTTGTGTCAAGTTGACAAAGGGTCAGTTCTACTGACTAAGTTTTCCTTCCTTCTTCCCTTCCTCCCTTCCTCCCTTCCTCCCTTCCTCCCTTCCTCCCTCCCTCCCTCCCTTTCTTCCTTCCTTCTTTCCTTCATTCCGTCAGTTTGACAAGCTAGAGTCATCTGGGAAGAGGGAACCTCAGTTGAGAAAATGCCTCCACCAGATTGGACTGTATGCAAGTCTGTGGGGGCTTCTTGATCAATGATTGACGTGGGAGTGTCCAGCCTACTGTGGGAGGTGCCATCCCTGGACAAACGGTCCTGGGTTGTAGGAGAAAGCAGGCTGAGCAAGCTACAGGGAGCAAGCCAGTAAGTAGCACTCTTCCATGGTCTCTGCTTCAATTCCCGATTCCATCTCCTGTCTTGACATCCCTTGGCGGTTGACTGTAACCAATAAGCCAAATAGGCCCTCTCCTCCCCAAGTCATTTTTGGTTGGTATTTTATCACAGCGACAGAAGCCTCTTCCTTTAGTGTGCAGACAGCTGTCTTCAGCTGGTATCTTCACCTGCTGTCTTCACCTGGCGTCTTCAGAGGTTTGTGCGTAGTTTATGTCAAAGTCCTAACCTCACCTCATGAAGACAACGGGGATTCATACTGATTGTTTCCAGTGATTAAAACGTAGACCTCTTTAACAGCTCCGTGAGAACTGTGCTGACAGGCTCTGTGTTTTGTAATAAAGTAGGACTGGGCCTCAAGAGGACCTCTGCAAGGTCAGAAGTCATCCCCACTTCCAGAAAGTGGTTTGTAACCAGGTCTTCCTCTCCCACCGGTCCCATGCTGGCCCATTACTCATGTCCGTTTACCCCCGAGCTTGTTACATTGAAGTGTGGATGTGATCCTTCACTGGCTCATTACTTTGTAAAACTCAGATAGAGGAACGATACTCTAATTCTTATTGACTGAGCTAGCATCTCACTTAGGGGACAAGGTTAATAAAACAAAGCATACTTCTGGGTATCTATTATTACTTGTAATTGTAGAATACATCTTAAGCCCAAACGCATTTTTCCAAAGGGTACAATAAAATTCTTACATCTCAGTGATTTCGGCTTGAGTGCATTTTATGTGTCTGTACCAGTCAGTGAATGTGGGGGCACACATGTGCATGTGTGTGCAGTGTGTGTGGAGGCCAGAGGTCAGCACTGGTGTTTGGGTCACTTTCCACCTTATGTTTTGAGATAGGGTCTCTCACTGAACCTGCAGCTCACTGATTAGGCTAGGCTGGCTGACCAGCAAGCTCCCTGGACTCCTTCTGTTTTGGCGTCCTCAGCATTGGGGTTCAGGTGCATTACTACACCCAGCTTTTTATGTGGGTGCTAGGGTCCTTGTGATGACTTAGGTTCTCGTGTTTACATGACAAGCACACTTTACATCTCCCCAGGCTCTATTCATCTCTCATCACAAACTGTATCATTTCTGTTAAGCCTTTTGTAGTATTCTTGGTAATAACTAAGTATAGAGTTACAGGGTTAGAAATGGTTCTCCTATAAGGTGCATCAACTTAGATGACAGGAACATGTATTTCACAACGTAACTTGACTCAAGGGAAGATCATAACTTTTTTTCATGCATTTAACAACATAACTCAAGGGAAGATCATAACTTTTTTTTTCCCGAGACAGGGTTCCTCTGTGTGGCCCTGGCTATTCTAGAACTCACTCTATAGACCAGGCTGACCTCGAATTCACAGAGATCCATCTGCCTCTGCCTCCCAAATGCTGGGATTAAAGGCATGTACCACCACTTTCTGGCCACACAATTATTTTTATAACATCCTTTTGTGATAATAATATAATAATAACTGTGGTTGTCAAGAGTATTTGGTGTATTTTGCCTCACTTAATTGGCATAATTTTTACTGATAATACTAAAACAAGACATAATACAGAATCATCATTCTGTAGCAAAAAGATGACTGCCCCTGAACTTGGACTGGTGTCCTGAGGTCACAGCTGTCCTGAGGTCACAGATGTCTGTCCTGAGGTCACAGATGTCTGTCCTGAGGTCACTGCTGTTTGTCCTGAGGTCATTGCTGCCTGTCCTGAGGTCACTGCTGTCTGTCCTGAGGTCACAGCTGTCTGTCCCTAGGTCTCGACCAGACCACACTGGAGCAGACCAGTCTCAACTGGAAGAGATAAGACCAGACTGGACCAGACAAGAATATATTGGTCAATATCGGTCCAGACTGGACAAGACCGGAAAAAATAAAAAAAAAAAAAAAACCATGGTCCTGAACGGTCTAGACTGGAGCAGACTGCACTTGACTGGATTCTACCAGACCAGACCAGTCTTGACTGGACCAGATGAGTATCTGCCAGAACAGACAGGACCAGATTTGTTTTGACTGGTATAGACAAGATGAGACCGCACCAGATCAGACCTAGTTGACTCAACAGAGATCAGGGGTTTAGTTAGTCTGGCTAAGCCAGCAGAGAGACTCAGTCCTTGGTACCAGTGCATTCTTAGTGGTGAGAAGGCAAGAAGAAAAACAGAACTCTAGGAGGAGGAGTCTTTTCCACAGGAAAGAGGCAGGAAATGGGTCACTAAAGCCATGAAGGCCTAAATGAGCTGGGGGATACAGGCAGCTCCAGGGAGATGGTGGAAGAAGAGGGCACGGAGGGACAAAATAGCCTGGTTTGGCCCAAGGAAACTGCAAGGATGGAGCTGCAAGGGTTGGGGTGGGGTCAAGTGAAGAGCATCAGCTGCAGCCTTACAGATCTTGGCTGGGAGTGCCTCTGCCTCCAAGAGCATCAGAGTGGTGCCTGGACACTCAAAGGTCACTTCCTCAGACTCAGGGTAACATTTACACTAATCAAAGGGTAACTTACGTAATTGCTGGTGGATGGGGTACTGAGCGATCAGTGAACTGAAAGGCGTGTCTGTTGTCCGTGCACTGGAAAAGAGGGATAGACCATGAGATGAGAGCCTATCAGAGTCACAAAGCCAAATGTAAGCATTGCAACTCGGATAGAGAGGTATCCTGGCAGTCAGGAGCTAGAGAGTATGACAAGGTCACACCACACAAAAAACCTCATTCAAGAGATTTATTAGGAGGGGAAGAAAACGGGCAGGTGAACTGCCTCGGTTCAGGCGAGAAACAGCAGTCAACTGAACAGGATATAGGGCTTATATAGAGTTTCTTGGTGTGTGTGTATGGAACTTTTCAGGGTTGAGCTTTCCAAGGTGGGATTTCATCTCCATAGATTGGGCTTTTTACTCTGTAGGATGCGGGCAGGCTTCAGCAGTTAGGGCAGTTAAGAATATTCTGTGGGTGGAACCTGGCAGTTAGAGGTCCTTCCTTGGGGAGGTCTGGTCATTTGTGTGGCTTGAGGAGCTTACACAATAAATGGGGTATTTCCATGAAAAAATTACATTGCATTATGACCAGTGAGGATCTCCCCACACCCATTGACATCATGTCAGATATCAGAGACAAATGTCAGTGGCAAAGGACACCGCAGTAGCAAGAGACAATTTGGGGTCAAGGCTATCGGGGTCTTGCCTATCTGAGATTCAGTTACCATAGTTTTGCTTCCTGGTGAGCCAATCCCCTGAAGTCAACTGCCACCTGCTACTCCTCTGACCTGGGCTCTGACACACCATGTCTGCCTGCACACCACTGTGTTTCTCACCATTGATAACAGTGGACTAAACTTCTGAACCTGTAAGCCAGGCCCTATGAAATGTTCTCCTTTATAAGAGTCGCTACAGTCTTGGTGTCTCTTCACAGCAATAGAAAGTCCAACTAAGACACAGTCCGTCATTGCCAGGAAGTCAAGATGGCAGGGACTTCAAGCAGCTAAGCACATCCTTAGCCAGGTGCAGGGAGAGAATGCATGCATGCTTGCAGCTCAGCTCTCTTTCTCTGCTCTTCACATAACTGAGAAGCCACAGCCTATGATGGTGCTGCTCACTGTTAAGCTAGCTCTACCCATATCAGTGCATATGATCCAGACAATCAACCACAGACATGCCATGCCAATAAGCCAACTTGATCCAGACAGTCACTCCTTGAGACTTGTCCCTAGAGATTGCAGCTTGTGTCAAGTGACCATCACAAACACACAACATGAATTCTGGGCTCTTGGACCAGCAGAGGTTTAATCTTTTAAAGTCTTTACTTTGACTGGATCTCACTACATAAACCAGGATGGCCTTGAACTCAGGGTATTCTTGACCCTCTCCCCCCAAATGCTGTATTAAAGGCCTACACCATCATGCTTGACAGGAGGTACATTTATGGTATTTAAAAATAATTTGCTTTCCTTCATTATGCGACCCAACTTAGATGAAACCCTTTATAGATTCCTTTAATGTCCAAAACGAGGTGCTGAATTACAAAAAGAGTTAGAAAGGGTTAAAAGGCTAAGTCCAACCACTTAGTGATGTTTAACATTGTGAATTCTTAGTGTGTGCTTGATAGCGTGTATTATCCAAGACAGATCTTATTCAAACACTGATTTTGAACTTCCTTCTGAAACATTCCACTTGTTTAGTTTTTACCAGTCACCCGTTAACATGAACCCAGACTAAAGATCCTTAATATTAAGAGATAATGGTTCTGTGTTCTGGTATCGCTCCCAAGACTGGAATAACTGGGTTTTTAGTTCCCCTGCTTTATATAAAGGTAGAAGTAGAAGTACAGAAAGCTATTGGTTTTAAATCCTGGATGACAGGCAGCCTGCGTTTGATCACAAGGTGAGTCCAGGCTCTGCATGGGAATAGTTTCCCGGCAGTAGCGTGTGTAGAGAGAAGGTATCCAAGCACTACACAAGGCAGCCAGGTCAGGTTGGTAGCGGGGGCTACTGGAATATTTAGTTCAAGGAATTAGAGAAAAAAGTGAACTGTGCAGAGAGAACCCCAGAAAGCTATGAAAGGTTTCCTCAAAAGTTCAAGGCAGAGGGATAAATTTGATTTGCAGGGAGTGGGACCACTTGAGGCTTGCCAGGCAGCATCTGCTACAGGATTGAGGCAGCACAGAAATACTTAGGATTAGCTGTTCTTGGGCACAGAGGAACTCCAAACTTTCTCAAATAGACATAATTTCCTCCTAATACTTTGTATATGATGAAGTTCGTAGAAAAAAAAGTTACAGTCATTGATACAAAATGTTCATAGAAGACACCAGGCACAGCAAGCTTACTACCTGCGTGAATGGGCAGGAAGTAGAAGCCTATGATCTGTGTTGTTTGTCCTCCAGGACCCAGGAAAGCTGCACCAGAGAGGGCGGAGTCTCATCTACATGCGCCCTACTACACACTACAGTTAAAGAACCCCACAAAGCACTCAGCCTAGTTTATACAGCCTAGGAGCCACTGGCCCGAAAACAAGTGTTCTAGGAGGAAGGAAGACATGGTCTGGGTTACGAGAAGAACATTTGCACCTTGTCCAGTATATTGTCTTTCTCTTATGCCTGAGGATTACACTTAAGCCAGCCAGCCAAGGCCATCTATGAAGACCTTGCGGTTACTACTACTGGCATTCTGCTGGTAAGTAAGCCAAGTAGGCTGACTTTAGCAGTGGGAACCATGCCCCGTGGTATGGCCTATAGTAGACTCATCTCAGCGAAGCCTATAAATAAGCATAACAAAACACAGAGGGAAGCATAATTCAGAAACCACATTAAATTCTACCTATTAGTGGGGCTTTAGAAACCCCACAGGTTCTGCACTAGCAAAGCACACCACCACGTCTACTCAGCTTTAAAGCAGGCAGCCAGTAATTAAAGTCCTTGCTAGCATAAGATCAACAGTTTAAAAAAAAAAAGCAGAATTTAATGTTAAACAGTGTGTTACTAAAATATCCAGGAGCCAGCGAGATGGCTCAGTAGGTAAACACATATGCTATGTGAGCCTGACGACCCAGGCTTGCTCTCTGGAACCCAGGTGAAGTTAGAAGGAGAGAGCTGACTGACTCTACATCTACATAGCTGTGCTCTGAACACCATGTGCACACTGTGGCAAGTGCATATCAACACAACATAGATGTTGGGCATGGCATGAGAGTCTAATGATAAAAGTTTAGAACAGCTCAATGTATTTGTGTATAACTGTAATCCCATTACTTGGGAGGCAAAGGCAAGAGGAATGTGAGTTCTAAGCCAGCCTGGGCTCTGTAGTAAGTTCCAGGTCCAGCCTGGGCTTCCTAGTGAGACTATGACATTTAAAACATGGGGGAGTGGGCTAGAGATAGCCCAGTGGATAAAGTGCTTGGTGAGCAAACATGAGAATGTGAGTTCAGGTCCCCAGCACCCACATAAAGGTGAGGTGTGATTGCATATCCTTAACTCCTGCCCAGTGGGATGGGATAGGAGGAAAGAGACAGGTGAACCCTAGGTGCCCACTAGGTAGGTAGTATAGCCAAACAGAGGCCTCCAGGTTCAGGGAGAGGCCCTGTCCAAAAACAAACAAACAAACAAAAACAAACAAACAAAACAAACAACCAAAAAACCAAGGTAGACAATCAGTCCCCTCCACATGTACCTGCATGGCTGAGCACCAACACACATACACGTGCACACATACATGCGTGTGTGCACACATATGAATTTAAGGCTGCAGATAATTTAATCAAGTTTGAGAAAAAAATTGAGACAGGGTTTTCCTATGTAGCCCTGATTGGTCTGGAACTTGCTACTTATATTCGGCTGACCTGGAACTCACAGAGATCCACCTGCCTCTGCATTCTGAGTTCTTGGATCAACAGTGTGCATTGCCTTGTCTGACATGCTTAAGAAGTTAAGAGAAAATATGTGCGAAAACTAAGGGGAAAAGTGGTCGTAGGGAATGAAAGGGCAGAGAATCTTAATAGATGTATGGAAACTAACAAATGGATATTCTTGAATTGAGTGCCACATTAACTGAAATGAAAACTAACTCGGTGAACTGATCATCAAATTGGAGACCCTAGAAAAGACAGATACTCATATGCCAGGACAACATACACCATCTGTAGAATATAAGAAAAAAAAAGTTAAAATGATTCTTGCTTCAGAGATGTGTGGTTAAGATCACATGGTCGCTTCCTTATTTGATCAGGTGGGTATAATCTAGATTCTACAGTCAGGAAAGGGCCATGCACCTAGCCTGGGCAAAACAGAGCTGACTCTGGTGATGTGGGAGTGGGTGAGGGTGACCCGGATCTGAGGATCTGAGAGTAAAAGAACTGGCCCACTCCTTGCTGCAGGCTGTGCTTGGTGAGCTAGTCGGGGCAGTGCTGAAGAGCTCGCCCCTGGAGTGACAATGAGGGAGAGAGGGCAGGCTGACTAACCCAGCTATCACCCCGGCCAGAACCAGGGTTATGAGTTGGCTTAACCTAACATCCACTCCAACTTCGAATTGTTGGAGCATGTGAAGGGGATGAACCTACAGATCCCAAACAGCAGGCTCTCCATGACACAGTGTAACAACAGGCTATCCAAAGGAGCCCCAGTGAGAGCCACTGTCGGTGGAGTAGCAGAAGCCAGAGGCCTCAAGCCAGACCAGTGAACACTGGCAAATAAAGATGAATGGACTAAAGGTAAACTGTGTGACTCAACAGGCCACTCTACAGTGCCCACAACAAGATTCTCCTTCTTTTCTTTTATTTTATTTTTGCTTTTTTTTTTTTGTTTTTTGTTTTTTGTTTTTCTTCTAAATTTGGTTTTGTTTTTTGGGGGAGGTTCCAAGGACTCAAGGTGGATGAGAGGGATGGGAAGATAAGTGGGGTCCAGATGGATGATATGAAATCCACAAAGAATCCATAAAAGTTAAAAAAATGCAAACTCAGTGTTGGCAAGAGTGGCCAAAAGCACCTACACTTTTCTTGATGAAGTAGGAATTGATGTAGTCTTAGAAGATATGATAGTATTACTTTAAAATCCCATATGTGCAAAACGCACTTTGCACAAGGGTCATCCCTATTCCACCACACATGCATTAATAGACCTCTTCTAAGGATTAAAATTATTTACGTATGTGTGTCTATGTCTTTGTATACGTGTGTGTACCAGGGTTCTGGAAGAGCACATCCGAGCTCCTGCCCCTGGAGTCACAGGCAGTTGTGAGCTGCTCAAAGTGGGTGCTGGGAACTGAACTCAGCTCCTCTGGAACAGCAAGTGCTTGTAACTGCTGAGCCACTTCTTGAGTGCTAAAATATTCTAGAATGTTCATAACAGTATTGCTAATAAGAGATAAAATATAAACAAAAATGACCATTGATAGTAAATACAATAAAGAATTTACAAATGTATACATTGATTTATAAGTCAATGTATATATTTCTGTATTGGAATATTGTCTAATAATGGAAGGAACTTCAAATACATGACATCAATATTGCCTAGCTGGCCCAGCAAATCACAGAAAAATACATAAGTATTAATTCTATTTAATATAAAACAAGACAAATTGTGCAGTAATGAAGTTTGGAGATGCATTCATGGCAGTAGAAGACTTACTGAAACAAAATCATTGCAGGATTTACTCCCAGGGCAGTTTGTAAGACAATATCCAGGGCATTTTTTTAAGGCTTAATAACACCCTGTTTCCTAACTGGGTTATAAAAACTCAGGGACTTCCCCTCCATTGTCAGAATGTGTCTGGTGCTCTTCATATACACACACTTTCCATATGCACATACTTAACATTTTGCAGCAAAAAAATCTTTAACATGGACTTTAACTGGAGATAGCCTTGTAGGTTCTTTTTATTTTGATGATCTGTGGCCAAGATCTTTTTTGTGGATCTGTTATTGAGAGTTCCATCGGAGCAACAGGCATTGAGATTCACTCGGTGAATTGGACAGGAAATCCTGACGTGAAATATAGGGATACACTGACAGAGATTCCCAGAACAGGTGACTAAGAAGAGGACTATGATGGTGATCCCGGGAGGTTGTGACTTTACTTGAGAGATCTTGGGTTCCAGTCCTGTTTTTAACCTATGTCTTGGTTGCTCATTCCCTATTTCTTATATTGGTTTTGTAAACTGTATCACAAAATTCAAACTCAAGGAAGATTACTAACTGTAATATAGCTGGGGAAACTGAGGCCCAAGATTGACGCCACTTCCCCATGGTGCCCTCACCACTTTGAAACCCAAGACTCTCAAACCTGAGCTCAGGTCATAATTGTCCCCTTTTCTACCGGTTGGCCCTCACAGCTTGACATCACAGAAGAGCCACCCTGCCCCGCCAGAAGCCCCGCCCTCTGCCTCTCAGTCTGGCATGCCCCGCCCCTGCGCGGTTCTTCCGGCCCCGCCCCTCCGGGCTGCCATGACAACGAGTCCGCGCCCCGTGCTCAGCTGCTGCTCGGGCGGGACCCAGGCTGGACCGCGGGCCCCGGCCTGGGGGCCACAGCTGCCACCGCCGCCGCCACCTCATCTCCTCCCCGTCCCTGTCCCGCCTCGCGTCTTCCCGCTGCACTCGGGCCGGAGGCCGGGGTCCCTTCCCCGCCGCACCACCCTGCGCGGATGCCGAAGGTGAAGGCGCTGCAATGCGCTCTGGCGCTGGAGATCCGCTCTGTGAGTATTAGCCCTGTCCCACCCCAGCCTCTGGGTCCCCCTGTCCCGACCCTGGACACCCCTGGAAATGTCGAGTGCCCGCCCACTCCAGCCTCGCGGAGACCTCACCCCAACTTCCTTTTGGAGTGCTTTCGGATTTCTTCTACACCACTTCAGAGTTGCGTTCTCCGGACAGTAGTTCTCTTTGAATTCCTCTTTACTCCTCTTCTGGTGAGGGACTCTTAGATCCTTGCTTGTCTGGGGGTGTGTGTGGCATTTCCGACAAATCCTGCAGGTTTTCAGATTCTTTCCCACGCTTCCTATTAGCGTAGGAACTCCCTTTTTTTTATCAAGGTGGAGTTCCTAATTTTCAAAACAACTTACTTTGTATCGTTAGTGCACCAAGTTTCTTGCCTTCTCCTCCCGGGACAAATCCAACTCCTCAGAAGCCTCTTCAGCTCTTCCCTCCAGTACCCAAACCCTCCCGATTTGGAGAGGGTTCTCCTTGCATCCTTCCAGGGGTCCCATGAAAGACCTGGTTAGCTCTACTTCAAGCTTGCAATCCCATCCAGTTACTCTGAACATTCTTTTAAGGGGATCTGTCCAGCCTGTTTCGGTAAACCCAACTGAGCCCAGAGAAGGGCTTTCCGGGTGTTGAGAAGCCCCCACTCCCCTTGATAACTGCAAGAGTTTCCTTCCGAGAGTTTTGAAGTCCTTCCGTGTCATCCTGAGAGACCCTTTTTCCTCCCTTAGAGGAGAACTCTGGTTTTGTTTCCTAATCCCTCCCATTCCTTATTCCATTTCTTTTCGTGCCTTCATCCGTGAATTGTTCTCATTACAGAACTCAGACTTCTAGTTGGTATTCCAACATCAGTAGGCGTATTCTCTGTCATTTTCTGTGCCTGCCCCAAGGAGCCCTCTTGCATTTTCTTCCCATGGGCCCCCAAACTAGCTTTTCTTTGCACTTACCTACGCTTATAAGCGCTCCCTTTTTCCTAGCTTCCCTTTCTCTCCTTGAAGCCTCAGCGACACTGAATTTAAACCAGCACAGAAGTCACAAAGTTCTTTCAGGTCTTTTGTTCAGCCTTAAGGAGGAGCTTGGGTGGGGCAGAGTGCAGCAGGGGTGGAGAGCAAGCTAGTTTCAGGGACTCCAGAGTCTGCTACAGTTGCCGAGGTTTTTTACTCAGAAACGCTGTCCCTAACTTTCGGTGTTTGCATCACAAGTTGACTTTCTGGCAACGTTTGTTTTGCAAAGAATGATTAGTTTACCGAAATACTGCGTAATGATTTCTAAATGTGCTAGATCCCGGACAGTTAGCAAAACTCTGAAGAACAGTCTCTGTAGACTTCATTATTGGCTGCCGCTTCCTCTCTTTGTAACCAATAGCTTAGCTGCTTTGCCGGAAAGCTGCTGCACGACAGGCTGGCTGCCCTCTGTTGTCAGTTCTTTGCTAGGAGGAAGTACTCTGTTGTGATTGTAGCCCTGGGAGTCAGAGACATTTTATCTCACTATGCAGCTTTTCTTACTGAAGAAAATGGATAGCTATATCTCCGGAGTATGCTGGTGCAAATATTCCTGTTTATTTTTTTTTATAAACATTTGAGTTACAGTGTTTTATAGTTCCCCAAATTTTCTAAGACATTCCTTCATCTCTAACTATTCTGTGTGCTGTTGTACAGATGCTGTATTTTCTGAACAGCAAGAGCCTTTTAAATGACTCTAAAGTTCAGAAGGGGGGAAAACGGCCATTAGCAACTACAGAAGTTAAATCAAATTAATTTGGCTTTAATTGGATAAAGGAATCATAGGACCACAAATCTTTTTAATATCTTTTTTATTGTAATTTTATCTTAAATTCTTGTACATTTACTGTATATAAAAGTCAAAACTGTAAAATCTATGTTAAACAAGTTTTTCACTTTAGTAACCATTGTCAATACACACACACTCTTATATATTTATTTTCTTATGTAGCAGGAAGAATATACATAAACTAAGCTGTACTTTATTTAATATATCCTGGAGATCACTCTGCATCTGTGAAGAGTGACATCGTGTTTTCTCCCAGATTTCAATCATACAGAATAATTGGAAGAGCATTTTAATGAATAACTCTTGCTTATGATCTGCATTAATTTGATTTTGCTGAAAATCTGAAAGTAAATTGCTGATACCATAATATTCCTAAATACTGCAGCATGCATACTCAAATATGAGGATACTGTATATGATCACAATTCCATGATCATAAGTGGTATAATTAATAGTATATCTTAATATTGTGTCCACATTTAGGTTTTCCCAGTTGTCACAAAGATAATTTTTATAATTAACTTTGAAACCAAGATCAAATGTTTGTATATTAAAATTAGCTATTTGATTGTTAGGTTTTATAATCAATTTCATTATAGAGAATTCTTTATTTCTGTGTTATTTTGCTTTCTATCGGTGGATTTTGGTAAGTTCACACATTCATGTCATCATTACCCAGATCGATATTTAGAAATATCGATCACTATGAAGTTACCTCATGCCCATCAATGGAAAGGAACTGCCCTTCTGATTTGTCTCTCTAGATTAGTTTGCCAGCAATGGACCAACTTCTATTTATTTATTTAAAGAAAATAAACTATCTTTTTTCATTATACATACCAATCTCACTCCCTCCCCTCCTTCCATTCCATCCACACACCCTCCTACTCCACCCCCATCCACTCCTCAGAGAGGGTAAGGCACATTGCTTTGGGGAAGGTCCAAGGCCCTCCATACTATATCTAAGCTGAGCACGGTATCCATCCAGAGAATAGGTTCCCCAAAAGCCAGTACATGTATAGGGATAAATTCTGGTGCCACTGCCAGTAGCTCCTCAGTCTGTCCCAGCCATGCAACTGTCAACCACATTCAGAGGGACTAGTTTGGTCCTATGCTTGTTCCTTCCCAGTCTGGCTGGAGTTTGTGAGTTCCCATTAGCTCAGGTAGACTGTTTCAGTGGGTGTCCCCATCATGGTCTTGACCTCTTTGCTCATATTCTTATTCCTTCCACTCTTCAGTTGGACTTTGGGCACTCAGTCCAGCAGCACTGGAATGTCATATTGGAGACATAAAGTGTGTAATATTTTATATCATGTGCTGTGACTTTGGTATTCAATAATGTTGCATGTTTTGGTGGGTTGTTCCTGTAAATCATGGAGTAGTATTCTCTTGTATATGCATATGACAATATACATTTTAAAAATTGGATTAAAACATATATATTCGCTGTGTACAAAGTGGTTGTATTTTCTTTCTGTCCTGACCTGACAGAAGCAATTAAGAGAGTAGAGAGGCATATTAGTTATTTTGTGTTGCTGTAATAAAATGCCATGCTCAAAACCAACCTCAGGAACAGAGAGTTCATTTTAGGTTATGGATTGAGAAGGGCGGAGTCTATCCTGTTGGGGAAGGCATGGCAACAGTTGGGGATGGCATGGTGGTAAGAGCAGGAAACTGGTCAATCACATTTCCATCTGCAAACATAGGCAGAGAGAGACAAGGAAATGGGATGCACCTATATACCCTCCGTATCTGCCCCAGTGATGTGCACTTACAGCAGGGCTCTGTCTCATAAAGGTTCTATCACCCCTCCTCCAAACATTGTTACCACTTGGAGACCACGTGTTCAAACACATGAGGTTATAAGAGACATTTTTCTTTCAAGCCAACCCAGAGGTTTATTTTGGCTGATGGTATAGACGATAGCAGTCCACCATGGTGGGTAAGGCATGGAAGTAGGGTGGCTTTGCCCATGGCACAGAAACCTTTCCTGAGGGCAGTTCACATCTTGGCAGATCAAGAAGCAAACAGAGGGCCGGAAGCAGGGCCAGGCTATAACAGCATCCCCAAATGGGGAACACATATTTAGAAACATGAGCTGGTGGGGGAACATTTCTTATTTAAGCCATAACAGTGATATTTTGATGTATGTATATTTCATGAAGTGATTAGATCAAGCAATTTAACACATCTATCACCCCACAGAATTTTGTAATGAGAACATTTTTTTTAATTGTTTTAGGATGTTTCAAGTTTATATTACATTTTTATTAGCTGTAATTGCCATGCCGTGTACTGTATCCCTAGAAGTTACTCACCCTGTCTGAAGCTTTGTTTCTTTAAATCAGCATCTCTATATTTTCCTCCATGACTTCCAGGTTCCTGGCAGTTAGCCAACATCTCTATATTCCCCTCCACTATTCCCAAGGTCCTGGTAGCCAGCTTTGGTTTTATGCTTCTGCAAGTTTGACTTCTAAAAGATATTATTTACAACTGAGATCACAGTGTTTGTCTTTCTGTGTCTGGTTTACAACAGTTAGTGTAATTCCCTCCAGGTTCACGCATAAATTGCAAACACTAGGATTCTTTTTTTGTTTTAACTATGTCTCAAATGTTTAGTTAATCTTACATTCAATGTTTATCCATGATGGCCACTTAGGTTGATTCCCTGTCTTGTTGAATGGAAATAATGCTGCAACTATCACAGGTGCGCTGATGTCCCTTTGGATATATATATATATATATATATATATATATATATATATGGAAGTGGGGTAGCAAGGTAGCTGTATTTTTAGTTACTTGAGGATTCTTCAAACTGTTTTTATAATAGCAATACTAATTTAAATTTCCACCATCAGCATTCAAGGGCTCCCATTTATCCACATTTTTGTCTACAGAAAATATCTTTTTCTGCTGTGCCTAATGTGACCTGATACTTTGTTACTTGATTTGCATCCCTGTGATTAGAGGTGGATATGCCCCTTTGCATGTGTGTGTTGGCCGTTTGTATGTCTCCTTTTGAGAACTGTCAGTTCAAGTTCTTTACCCCATTTTAACATTAGGGATTTTTTTTTGGTCTTCTTGCTGTTGAGTTCTTTTAATTCTTATATATATTCATACTAACCTAGTATTAAACATCTGGTTTAGTGTGATTTACACATGTTCTCCCATTCCATTCTCTTCTCTTACTCTGTTAATGGCTTCCTTTGAAATACAGAAGCTCAGAAGCTTTCCGAGTTGATATCATCTGTTCTCTTATGAGGGCTATTTATTGTATCCTGCCTGTGATTGTCATGGGTAGTGCTACGGAGAGTCATTCTTATCAAAGTTTTTCTTGTGTGCTATCTTCTGAAGAGACCAGACTCAGGTAGAGAACATCCCATGATGGATTGTTGCCCAATTTTCTTCTCTTGTGGTGAAATGTAATATTTTCCTTTATAATAGGTTTTACATAAGCCTGAAATCTCTACTTGTGGCTTGAAGGTGTGGCACCTTCCTCTCTCCCTCTTCCTTGAGCAGCTGTCTGCTGCAGTATGGTATTAGGAGTGACTGTGAGGTGTGATGTGTGGTGCTGTGGTTAAGACGCAAGCGAAGCACAGCAGGCAGCAAAGCCTGGGCCGTGTCACACAGCATTCTGTGTTGTCCAACAGAGTCATGTGACTTGGGAGAAAATATATTGCTGGGGAGAAAAGTGTGACTTTCCTAAGGAATCTTTCAGGAATGACGTGATATGCCAAGTCACACATTTTAAAAGATCATCTAAAGAATTATCCTTGCAAAGGTTTTTGTATTTAGTATTGGACACTTCTCTTTGACAGGAAAGGACTGCTCTTGCTGTTTGGACTTGGTAATTCCTTCTTATGTTGAGTATTTCAATGCTCACATCTTTTATGAGGAGGAGGAAAACAATGTAGAGCTTAAATAGATCAGCATGGGGGAGTGGAGAACTTTCTTTAAGGCTTGTTTTGGTTAATTTTATGAAATTCTAAGTTTTTCATTTCTATATTTACTTCACCTCATTACTTATCTCAAGCTAATGACACCATGCGGTGAACAGTGCTGTGTCTTTCCAGGGATTGCATCCATCTGGATCCTTCATAGTTGGGATCCTTACTCAACCAGGCACTGCCATGCTACCATTAAAAACTTTTGATTGCAAAATAGTTGAGACTAACAGAGAAAATATAGATAGAAGATAATGACAACTTCCCCCATTTAAC